ACACAGACAGACCAATATCTACTCTTTTTCCCACCACCCACTGGAGCACATGCTAAGGGTCATGAGAACACTGCACCACAGAGTGGAATACATACCAACAAGCGCCCAACCCAGAGAGAAGGAACAGAACCATCTGAAGGGGGCACTTACAGCCTGTGGATACCCTAAATGGACCTTTGTGAAAATAGCCACAAGATCCAAGAATAACAAAACTACAGGGGATGAAGAAAAGAAGGTCAAACGCAACAACATTGTGATTCCATACGTGTCTGGAGTATCAGAGAAACTCAGGAGGATTTTCAACAAACATAACATCCCTGTGTTTTTTAAACCCAAGAACACACTAAGACAGATGCTGGTCCACCCCAAAGACCGCACACCCAAACACAAGAAAAGCAATCTAGTGTATGCGGTCCAATGCAGTGAGGAATGCACAGACCTGTATATTGGGGGGACTAAACAACCACTACACAAACGCATGGCTCAACACAGAAGGGCCAACTCCTCAGGTCAAGACTCTGCAGTCTACTTACATCTGAAGGACAGAGGACACTCGTTTGAGGACCACCAGGTGCACATTTTAGACAGAGAAGATGGATGGTTTGAAAGAGGTGTCAAGGGAGAAGCCGTCACTGAACAGGGGAGGGGTCTACGCCACCACTTATCCCCCGCTTACAATGCTGTCCTTTCATCGCTTCCCAGGAAACTCAACAAACGTAACCTATTGGCCTCAGGTGAAGATGCCAACGATGGTCGTTCAGTCTTGGCCACAGGTAGTCCTAACGACCGAAACGACTGTCGTTACAACAACCAGGAACACTAATGCCGCATTCAGACCAACCGCGAATTTTCGCCTTGCAACGCTTTCCTCGCGTGACTGCATTCACTGCAAGTGTTCACACACAATGCGAGAAGGCGATTTTAATGCGATAATGTGAATAAACACAACTCACCTTTACTACAACTGTATGAACCCAAAGTAAACATTTGCTGTGATTAAATAGCAATAAACAGATTAAACTGATGCATAACTACAATGTGATGCAGATTTGTTAAACATATGAATTCATGCTTTGTCAGGTCTGTCAGCGAGACAGCAGGACAACAACTTCTAAAATGTTTGTTTTCTGAATGGAGTTTGGAACTTGGTCACAGTAAAGTACAATGATAGCTGGAATAAAGTTACAGACGCATGTTTTCTGAACTCACCAGGTAGTTCAACCTCCTCGCTTTCTTTTCTCCTAGCAATGTCCAGTTTTGTCCGGTTTTTATATAATTATGAAGTCATAGTCCGACAGAGCTAACGACAATAACAACAACACTGGAACTGGATGTGCATGGAAGCTAGCTGCTGAGAAGCTCCAGTGAAGATAAATCAACATTGAAATCCCAAAAACTAAATTAAAAAGCTAATTTAATAAAAGCAGTTTACTCCGAGCTCCTCCCGCGAGTAAACGGTGTAGTTGTCAGAGCAGAATCCGACCGACTACGGGGGTCACTGTAGCCTGCTGTGAGTGCAGACTTAAGATCATTGCCCCCAAATACTGTACAAAACAAAACACAGTGCCCTTTGAAGGGGAATAAAGCAACCATTCTCTTGGCACAGTTTCGCCATTTGCCAGCCTCCTTTTAAACAGGGTTTTGGAAAAGTACCTCTTTTGGTGTTTATGTTGTCTTTCTGAGGCGGAGACATCTGCGTCTTTGTTCTGACGTTTCAGGTCCTATTTTAGCCCAGTATGTCCTCATATGCTCATCAATTTTATCACGGCATGGAGGATCCGAGCTGTAAGAAGCGGGAGGTGGTGGTGGTAACACAGCACAAGTATAGGATACTCTGTCTCAGACTCCTTACCTAGCAAACTGGTGCAAAAGATTTTGGATTAAACTCCTCTGATTGGCACCGTTGAGCCAATCAGAATTCAGCAAAAACAAGGATCAGTCCAAGTTGGGAGTAGTGAAAGTATTAGTTTGGCTCAGACTGACAGACATACAAACAGCGTTCCGCTGCTGTTGACCAGTCCGACAGCACGGTCGGACTGGTCAACCCTAACCCTTAATTTCATTATCAATAAACTCCCAGTCTTGTGCTAGCAGATCAACTTTGTGTGAACATGACTTTTTGGCTAGTTTTTGTAAATGTCTCTTCCATTCAGTCCTTAAATCTGTCAATATTCGAACCTGGTGACCTGTATATGCAACTTCCAATAATATTTTTTTTTAAAAGCTGCTACTAATAGCTGGCTAAACCACAGACATAATATAGAGATAGACGCCCTATGAATGATGGTTGTTGATGCCAAACTGTGTCTCCTCAATGTGTTCCCCAAGCAGAAAAACATCCTCCGTTCCAATCTCCTCCCGGACGATGTGTGTGACTGTCGACAACTTAAGCCTATTTCACACTACACGGTTTTTAGCCCGATTTGGCGCTCGGCGACCATCAGGCTGTGATCGCGGGTAAATCAGCGTCGCCAGTCGTTATGTGTGAACTACTCAAGGATGTATCAAAACGGCTCCCCGACACATTTCTGACACATCGCCGATGTCTGCCAGATATCTAGCATGCCAAATATCTGGATGAGTCGGCCGACTCGACATCCACATCCAACCAATGAGAGCAGGCTGCTGTGCAGAGCAGGCAGCTACTTTTTCCCCGCAAAACATGTTTCACTCCCCACTCCGTTTACATGACCCTGGACTCACTCCAAAAGTCCACTGAGTCTGTCTGCTTCGCTGCTGCCAGAGCTGATGACAGCCATTATACTAAATGTTAGCACTAATCACCAAATCAACAAAATATAAACATGTCGGCAAAATCCGGCTGGCAAAATGCTCTTATTCTGAAATGCTCCCTGTGGTAGTTGCCCGTCAAGACGATGAATGAAAGTGGGCCACAGAGAGCTTTGAAGAATGTAGTAGAAACACAAAAAGGACACACCATATTAAATACAAGTCATTAACGTGGGGCAGCTACACGCTCCGCTGCTGAAACACTTCTGAGAGGCTTCCAGTGGGCTTTGACGCCATAAATCAACCCTTGTGCAGGCTACGTCCGTCCCTCAGAATTCCCATGATGCATGAGAGGGAAGGGAGTTTTGTTAAAATGTGCTAATAAGTTCACCATTTGTTTGAAATAGAAATGTTTCTTTATTATTTATGTATATTAAAACGTGTCTCCTTAGAATATAGTATTTTTTTTGTTCGTAATTGTCATTCTTGTGGTGGTTTACCATTGAAACCACAAGTGAAGAGCTGCTGAATTTTGCTGGCACAGCAGATCTACGTGCATCAATGCATCAATTGAGCTAAACTGCACTATGCTGAACTGTCTGGCCCACAAATGGGGCCCCCTACCAGCCAGGACCCTGGGGTGGCTGTACCCATTCACTCATGCTATTTCCGCTTATGAGTGGCTCCAAATGGCTGCAAGATGGGACTTAATAAATTAACCTGCCATACTTATATCCTGGGTTCAGAGTAAATATCTGCTGCTTGAATAGGACCACTCAGTGAATTAGGTCAAAAGAAATTAAGCAAAGAACTTGTCAAACATTATCTGGCTTTCATATTGAAAACTTAATGAAAAGTGAACTGGAGAGGAAATAAAGATGATGTCCCATCCCTGTCCCTCAGATATATTCCAGTGGGTCTGTTAGAGCGAGTGCCTCAGAAGATCAATGAGAGACCTCCGTACTACATGGACAGAAACTACCTGGAGTCACTGATGGCAAAATGTCAAAATGTTGGGGACTGGGTCAGGATTAGGTGAGCAGAAAACTGTGTTAATCTGTAAGTATCATTCAAAATCAAGCAACACTAAAATGTATTGTTAAAGTGATATATTTACTTATTATAAACTCTCACTTTATCCCCTCTCCAGTGAAATGCTACTTGGACCTGTACCGAACAATTTCAACTTTTTGCCCAAACATAAGGCCAACGCCTACAAGTGAATTTCTACTTCACTACTAAAAAAACACCCAGGTTTTTCTTTTGGCTCTAGAGAATAAGATTAAAAGAAAGGAAATTATTGTTTTAAATGATAAAGACTATTGAATAGTCTGCTTATTTGACATGCGGTGCAGTAGTAAACTATATGGGTGTTTCTGTTCTTGTACTGAAATATATGCAATAAACTCTTTTGCCACCCCGAGAAATGTCTATGTCTTATTTTTCTTCTAGTTAAAGAGGCTGAAAGGTGTGATTTCCGATCCATCATCGTGGAAGATGAGCAATGCTCTGTAGCCATTTACACAAAGCTTTTCTTTTGGTGATTGAAATGATGGTTTCAAATGGTTTAATTATTTCAGTCAGTGAAATTAATCATTTAAATGTTAATGACACCCTATTAGGTACAACTATAAAGTGTAATCTATTCAACATCTTTGTGATAAAATGTATTTGTGTGATGCCTGCAATATGTTTTTTACTCAGAGCTCTTGATTCTACTTTTGAGATGGAGAGAAGATGGTTTCGTATTGTATTTAATCTATTTTAATGATTTTTTAAACAATGACATGTACATACATGAGGAAGACAATGACAGAGACACCTCTCAATATAATGCAGCACCCAAAGGAAAACCCTGTGTTAATTAAATGTGTAACAAGCAATATACATGGTGTTATTTAAAAAAATAAAAAATAATTGAACATGCTTGCATTATTCAAAATGTATGTCTGAAAGACAAAATCCAGTTATACTTGAGAAAAGATTTCAAAATTTCAAAAAGTGTCCAATAAAGTATTTGCACTGACTGTGTGCCTGTAACTTGTAAGATAATGTCATACATTTACATAATTAAATGTTGGTCAATTGATTTATTTTAAAAGATCTGGAACATCTTAGAAACATGCCTTTCCTTTAGTAAAAAGGCGGTTTTCATTCCCAAACCTGTAACTTTAGTTGAGTAAGCGAGTGCCAATCAGTGGTCACCAGGTGCACTCAATTAACTTCAAACCACCATTTGCAGTATTTCAAGGGGCTGCATGTTTGTCTAGGTTTTCAGCAGCTACAGGAAAGCTTTCACATTGATTCATGGCTGGTGTTAGAGTTGAGCTGCTGGTAGTCCTGACTGCGGCTCTGCTGGTTTCAGTAGAGGGATGGGCGCGGATCAAGAAAGTTCAGCGTACTAATGTTTATGAGAGCCGCCAGCAGTCTGAACCACAAAGTGTTACCTTGCCAGGTAAACAACCACCAATGACACAGCACTGATAATGAGCGTGTGGTCACTGAAAGCACTGTGTGAATCGCTCTTGGACTGACTGAGTCTTGGGACGCTTGCTTGCTTCTAGAAATACATGACCATAAAAAAAAATGTCCAGATGGTGCGTTCCACCGTATGAGAGGTTGAAAGAAAATTATTGCATGTACTAAACATTAACTGAGGTATTAAAAGCAACGGTACAAGCCACGCAAGGTCTAAAAAAACTGCCGGTCAGCTGCACCACTAGGCTGCAGCACACACTTTTATGCCTTTTGGACCTGCAAGGACATGAGCATTAACAAATCACGCAAAAATATCTAAATTTACAAACAAATCAATATAAACTATCAAATTGGTTCCTAAAATGATCCTCCTTTTTAAATGTTAACATTTACTATTCTCCTGTAATGCTATATAGTCTGCTACTGCCTGTTTGAAACAAAGATGTGGTGTGTGTGTGTGGTTTTTTTTTTTTTTTTTTGACAGCAGTCATCTGACATTGGTAACAATTACCTCTCTCCCCTCCAGATGACAGCAGGGAGGACGATGATGGTGAAGATGCAGTTCTTGAGGATTCATTACTTCAAGTTGAAGGTGCCACCACCAGTGGAAACTTCTACAATTTTGCTAACCATGGAGACCAGATTGACGCAGTAGATTCTAGTCCAAGAACATGGCGCAGAGGTACTGATGGTGGGTTCCAGATGGAATTTGATAATATCCCTTCAAGGAGCCACACCAGCAGTACCAGTCAGCGTCGGACTGGGATAGATGTGGTTTGCAGTGACGTTGGCTTCCAAATTACTCTGCCGACAGGTTCATTAAGTGAGGTTAAAGTTGTGGGTATGTACTTGACTTTTCTGCCTATTGAAACTCAAGTCTTTATTTTGCTGAATGCATGTTGTGAACTTACTAGGCTTTCACTTTGTTCATTAGGCTCAAAGGACCTGCTGTCTGTTATGGATGCTCCAGAGTCTTGTGGTTATGAAGTGAACCCTCTGACTAACACCTTGGCTGTACCCTTCACCGGGTGCTATGTGAAACGGGTAGGTTTCTGTAAATGTACTGTAAAGTAACTGCCTTGGCTCTGTAGTCTTTACAAAGTTCTTGTGTAGTTTTGCATGTCTTGAATTGAGTTAATTTCTCTTTGTGAATTGTTACAGAATGACCGCTACAGCCTGCAGTTGTTGTATGTCAATGAGTTTGATCAGACACAAGTTGCTACTGCATCTTGTGAGAGGAGTCTGAAGTTGGACCCAGGTATGCTCCCTCGCTCCAGTGGCCCATCCAGTCCCACATTAAAGTACATTGACCCAATCTCAGTGCGGCCGCAACGGCCTACATGTACACAACGGCCCCAACTGCCGGGTTCCCCGCAAGGGCCCCAACTGCCCGGATGGCCCCAACTGCCGGGTTCCCCGCAAGGGCCCCAACTGCCCGGATGGCCCCAACTGCCGGGTTCCCCGCAAGGGCCCCAACTGCCCGGATGGCCCCAACTGCCGGGTTCCCCGCAAGGGCCCCAACTGCCCGGATGGCCCCAACTGCCGGGTTCCCCGCAAGGGCCCCAACTGCCCGGCCGGCCCCAACTGCCGGGTTCCCCGCAAGGGCCCCAACTGCCGGGCCCCCCCCAACTTCCGGGTTCCCCGCAAGGGCCCCAACTTCCGGCCCCCCCCCAACTTCCGGGTTCCCCGCAAGGGCCCCAACTTCCGGCCCCCCCCCAACTTCCGGGTTCCCCGCAAGGGCCCCAACTTCCGGCCCCCCCCCAACTTCCGGGTTCCCCGCAAGGGCCCCAACTTCCGGCCCCCCCCCAACTGCCGGGTTCCCCGCAAGGGCCCCAACTTCCGGGTTCCCCGCAACTGCCGGGTTCCCCGCAAGGGCCCCAACTTCCGGGTTCCCCGCAACTTCCGGGTTCCCCGCAACTTCCGGGTTCCCCGCAACTTCCGGGTTCCCCGCAACTTCCGGGTTCCCCGCAACTGCCGGGTTCCCCGCAACTGCCGGGTTCCCCGCAACTGCCGGGTTCCCCGCAACTGCCCGGTTCCCCGCAACTGCCGGGTTCCCCGCAAGGGCCCCAACTGCCGGGTTCCCCGCAAGGGCCCCAACTGCCCGGATGGCCCCAACTTCCGGGTTCCCCCCAAGGGCCCCAACGGCCGCCATGTCGCCAACGGCCCGGATTGCCCCAAGGTCCCCAACGGCCGCCATGTCGCCAAGGGCCAGCACCGCCAACACTGCCAAACTCACATGGTGAGTACAAACTGCGTTCAGCAAATGTGTTGAATGGTAACCATTTCACACAACTTAGATTTTTGATGTCAAAATGTTTTTGTCGTTGCCCTATTAGGTTGTGGCATCCCCACAGGGGAGCAGGTGACTTGTGGCCAGTCAGGAATATCGTCCTCAAACTGTAAAATGATGGGATGCTGTGTGGATTCTTCTACATCTGCCTGCTACTACCCAATGGATGGTGAGGCTTCTGTTTAGGGAGAAGTGTTTTAAAAAACATTCAAATAGGAAATGTCTGTATTTCAAGTGACCCCCACCCCCTCTCTCTCTTTAGAGTGCACTGTCGATCAACACTTTGTGTTCGCCATTCGTGCCAACTCTGCATCCATCCCTGTGGACCCCACCAAGCTTGTTATTACTGGGAGTACAAACTGTAAACCAGTCATTGCCAACGACAAAGTTGCCATCTTTAAGTTCAACGTTACAGAATGTGGAGTTCGCGCTTATGTAAGTCCTCCCCTTTGTTACTTTTTAGTAAGTTGGAAAATGCATACAACTTGACTACCATAAATATTCATTTGAAAGCTTAGTCCTAGTTAAGCTATATTCACACTGCAGGCTTTAATGCTCAAGTCCAGTTTATTGCCCACATCTGATTGAGATTGACTGAAAGATCCTTGAAGGGGAGATGGTGGTGGTATTTATGCCGAGTCATGGCTTACTATCCTTTCAAACACGGTTTATTCTATCCAACATTTTCACTTGATCTTGTTACGTTAACAATCTCAGGCTAAAAAAAGCAACCTAAAAGTTAGTTTTTTATTTAATTTTATGCAACGGGGTTGCTACCTACACTGTGAACAGTTGACCTGCATTTTAGGAGTCGTATTACGGTTTAACAATTTCCAGCTGATTTGCTAAAGACAGCAGAACAGCAAGAACGTCCTGTTCTTTGATCGGCAGAGCTAATCGGAGCAGGGTGGGTCATGGCTTCGCCGTAGTAGGATTCAGTGATGGGATTAGGGCTCTTTAGTTGAAATAAACAACTTGTTGAGCAAGAGTTTTGTGTGAAGGGAAGTAAAAGGCATCTTCTACATGTCTTTCCTCTAAAAGATGAATTCATAGGGTTTTAAAGGTATTTTATAAATACATTTTCACTTAATATGCTGGGAGTCTTGGAGGGTGTGCTTCAGGCGGTACATCATGCATGCTGTGTAATCTGCTGGGAAACTGGAAGCCAACAGCTGAGAAGTTGACGTTTCTTGACAGGAAGTTGGTGAGATGATTATCTACCTGGCTGAAGTGCAGACTGTCGTCCAATCTCTAACCCTCCAGTATGGCGTAATTACAACACGTGATCCGCTCAGGTTAGTGGGTTACACAATACACTTTGACTCTGTGGGCACAATTCTTCCACTCTGTTGCTTTTTGTGTGTAGTGCTAAGCTTAAATGTTAACCCGTGTATTTGCATAGGTTCATGGTTGAGTGTCGCTATAGCAAAGCAGGCGTTGCTCTGCAGTCACTAGCCAGCGCTGGCTACATGGTGAAGACCCCGAGTTCCAGCTTGCCATCAGAGCTCCTCTCTAATGGCTTATATGCTGTTGACTTGAGAATTGCTAAAGGTCGGGTATTTATGCCTTATTTTCTAAACCAATTGCAAAAAGTACAATCTTGATCAATTCTGCTTGAGTAGGACTGCACACGAGTCTACCCTTTGTCTAACCCCAACAGATCAGACATATTCAAGCTACTTGCCCACAAACAATCGGCCCCTGCGACTGCTGCTTGGCAATCCAGTCTATCTTGAGCTGCGCCTGATATCTCCAAAACCAGATGCGGTAATCCTCGTCAACTACTGTGTAGCTTACCCTCGCTCTGCAAGGAATGCTCTGGTGCTTATTTATGAAGGGTAAGCATGAATGAACTCCCTGTGGAATAAAACAAATCCTCCTCGCCCTCTGTCTACCTAACCATGAGTTATGTTTGTCTCCAGGTGTCCCAACCTTTATGGTCCAAATATGTCCATCCTTAAGATCTGTGACTCCTCAAATCGTCACCAGAGGCGGTTTGTGGTTGAAGCCTTCCAGTTTATGGTTCAAAAGACAAATGACTATCTTGATGAAGAAGTGAGTATTCAGGAAGCCATTATGGGCCTAAATAGTCAAAGCTATGCTGTGTACAACCGGTGCAGACTGAGATGTTCCTTGACACAGTAATGTGGTGACTTGTTCATTAAGGGGTCCTTTTTTAAAATGGAACAGTAACCTGTTGACTAAATGTATCCTATCCTGCTGTTTTGATTGCAAAGCTCCTTGAATTGCATTCACTGGATTTTTGTACTTTGAAGGCAAAGTCCCTGTTTCCCAGACTTGTGTATTAATGGCTGCCAAAATATATTTGACCCCTTTTTAACATTTTAAATTATCAGTCTGAGAATGAGGCCATCCACAACTGACAACACCTGGCTGTTACTGCTGTCATTTAGTACAATGTTGGTTTTGATGGGGCTACATGCAGCTTGTGTTGTGAGAATGCATGTGCCACAGTGCTGTCATTCTGTGGAAAACACGGTTATGGCATGTAAACTTTTCTGACATGGTGAATGTCGTCCCCCCCCCCCCCCTGTAGATCTATTTCATGTGCTCTACAGAAGTGTGTTTTGAAGCAGATGGGCCATGTGAACAACAATGCTTTGATGGAAAGGTGAGTCTGTAAAATATGCAAATGTGCTACCAGCGCAGTTTGAAGTCTAATCAATTTCTCTTCTTCTAGGCACCATAAGGATGCTGCAGAAGACTTATGAAGATAAAGGGGAAATAAACTAACCATCTTATAACTCCGTATACCGGGTCTTGCAGTTGTGTGGGTTTTTTTTCCGTGTTAAAATGTAGACTTGTAAGTCTGTAAATGACTGAGTGGGATGAAACCACATTTCCCTTGTGAAATAGTGACACTGTTCATACAAGGACACTATTGGTAGAGTGATCTTCAGTGTTTTGAGCAGAGGAATCTCTACACTGTATATTTTTGAAAAGGGGGTGGCGGGGATGAGAATGCAAATCTCCATAGAGGCTCAAGACTCCTCAGAATAATGTAGTAGTTACTACATCCTCAAACTGAGAAGGACTTGGGTGATTTATGGGTGTAGAGCTGAAAATGGATTTTGGGTAATGAATTGCCACATGACAAATACAACATGAGGACCGATATCAAGTTATTAGTGGCTGGACACTGTTGACCAGAGATTACACAAAACTTGGGGGGGTTTGTCACGGTCCAGCGAATTTCATGTGGAAGTAAGGGAATGTGTGAGCAGATGATGGCAAGGCAGAAGAACAAAAGCCACATGTTTAATAATGGATTTTGTGGAGCAGCTCTATGTACAGCAGGACCGTGACAACAGCTGCTCTAGTGAGATGTCAAAATTGCATCAATTCTGACCTGAGTGTCCAGACTAAAGTCTCATTTAAAAAGACAAATCTGAACTCTAGAAGATCAGATGTGAGCCTTGGGCTACATTCAGACTGCAGGCCAAAGTGTCTGTGGATGGGGGTTTGTGTTTTTTTTTTTTTTTTTTTTTTTTTTTTTTTTTGCTCACATGTGACTCTAACAACAGGCCAAGTCACATGGGATCTGATGAAGAGTCGGAACACAAAACAAAGTTGTGAGCGCTTGTCATAATTTGGGAGAGACCCGTGAGGACAATGAAATACGGAGTCTCTCGTGAAAATTGGGAGGGTTGGCAAGTAGGCGCTAACTGGAGCTAGCCTCTGTTATGAAAAGCCACATAGGTCAAAACCAAATACTTCGCTTGTGCATAGTCGATAATATATATGCGCGAAGTGAGTATGTATGTGTAAGGTTAAGAATTAATAAATGTGCAAACTGTATGAATGTATTTGCAAGGATCTGTAGTACAGGGGATAATGCTCTTGCCTTTGGTGTGAGGAAACCTGGGATCAATTTCCACTCAATGTATCTGTCATTACAGCAGGTCTGGGTATTATGGGGACATGAAAGCCGCCTTTTAATTTTTGGGAGGGATAAAATTGACTGCTAAATGTACATGGAAAAGGTTCTGCCCGTTTGATAAGTAGGTGAAACTATGTTAGCTTTCTAACTATGATTCTTATCTGTGCGCCAAATTATTAATGTTCATTGTCTTTATATTTTCAGGTGAATGTAACCTAAGCTGTACCCTTATATGGAGACCTAAATTATATTAACAGGTCGTGCTGTCTGTCAGCCTCTCAGCTCCACTGGAGCCGCTGCTGAGTTTGTAAACCCTGAAAAGAGGGAAAATAGAGCATTTTCAGTTCTAGAAAAAGCAACTTTAATTTATGTGACAGCCCACTGTAGTGAGGGAGGAGAATCTGCCACTCAGACTGGGAGCTGATCAAATAAAAGCATCCGCTAAAACAGTAAATGCCAATGTAATGTGTTGACAGCAAAATAAAGTAATTATTTACTTTTATCTATTTTATTTGCAATTTTCAGCTTCATGGTGTACACATACAAGGAATGTTACTTTTTTTGTTGGATATCATGATGTATTATTTAAATTCTTTATTGTTAAATGTGTGTTGAATATAAACTCCTCAGGAATTTCACCATTCAATGTGAATTTATCTGAGAATATTCTTAAAGAAGGAAATCTATTTAGTGATTGGTCCTTGGCAACATCGTCATCCAAAATCTTGTTTGCGGCGCAGCAAATTGTCATAAATCAGCACTGACACTTAAGATTTAGTCCTACACTTAACTCAAATTAGGACTATGATGCTTGATAACTAACTTTTAAGCACAGCTTTGAGCCAAGAATTTTTTTTACACTTAAGTCAGTTCTTAGCAGTGTTCTTATGAGTAATTCTGAGAAGCTTGATAAATATGGGCCCTGGTGCTGGCAAGTCAAGGCGGACATGGGCAGAAACTACCTGGAGTCACTGATGGGCAGTTGCAAAACTGGAGATTTGGTCAGGATTAGGGGAGCAGAAAACTGTCTTAATCTGCAAGAAGTATCATTCAAAATCTAGCAACACTAAGATTAATTATTAAATTGATGTATTTACTTCTCATTACCTCTAACTGTGTCCCCTCTCCAATGAAATGCTATTTTGACCTGTACAGAAAGAATTCAAAACTTAAAAAAGAACATCCAGGTTTTTTAAATAAAGGAAATATATTGTTTTAAATGATAAAGAGTATTGAATAGTCTGCTTTTTTGACCTGTCGTGCAGTAGTAGAATAAAGGTCTTTGCTACTTATGACCTGGCTCAAGTGGCCCCAACAAAAGGGACACACCGCAGCAAACATTTAACAAAATATGTTTATTTAACCCAAAATAAGTCCAATTAAAAATTGTGTCAAATTTATTAAAGTATGGGGAATGGACATCAGTGGTTTCAGTAGTGTCAGAACAGGATGATAGATGGGTGTGTGTGAGGGTGTTGTAATATGTAAAAAAACAAGATAAATACAATCAAAACAGTATTTGCAGAAACCAAAAGGTGGAGAATGTGGAAAGAAAAAGAGAGGAGTCAGTTAGCAGGGAGGTCTGTAACCTCAGCCCAGAGTGTTTTTGATTCCACTTTTGGAGATGGAGAGTAGATTGTTTCATAATGGTATTTATTCTATTTAATGTTTGTTTATAATGACATTTACATACTGTACATGAGGATGACAGAATATGACACCTCCAAATATAATGCAGCACCTGAAGAAAAACCCAGTGTTGATTAAATGTGTAGCAGGCAATATCCATGGTGTTATTTTTTTAAACAAAACATGCCTGCAACAACTTAATGAAAAGTTGGAAATGTATAAATTTACATATTTGTTTATTGTTCAAAAATGTATTTATCTGTAAAATATATTCCAGTTATACTTACGAAAAAGTTTCAAGTTTTCAGAAAGTGTCCAATAAAGTATTTGCACTGTATATCATTCAAGTCTAACATGTATCTTATGTGGCCATAAGATAGACAACAAAATTGATGTCCAAGACAATAAATGTCATACATTTACATAATTAAATGTTGGACTTTATTTGAAAAATACCTAAGACTCACATGCCTGAGACTTTAGTTGAGTAGTGAGTGCCAATCAAACCACTGCATGCAGCATTGCAAGAGGCTGCGTCATCTGGTGTTCAGCAGCTACAGGAGGGCCTTCACATGGATCCATGGCTGGGATCAGAGTTGAGCTGTGGGTGGTCCTGACTGGTACTCATAAGGGGGATAAACAAAACTCAGCTCACTAACTTTTACAGGAGCAGTGTTTACTTTCCAGGTAAAGGACCACCAATGGCACAACACTGCAATAAGGAGTGTAGGTATAGTAGGTTAGTAGGTATTAATAGGTTCTTGCAAAAGATTGGGCTTGCATGTGCCTTTAATGCATGCAGTTGGAATAAACTCATTCAAAGTGACTTAACATGAGTTTTAAATTATTATTTTTTTAAAAGCTCAAATGGATGATTATTTCCAGACTATCAAGCATAGATGACCTGAGATGTTTGTGTTTCAGTCCACTCTAGCAACTACTTATTAATAAAGACTTTTGAAGAAACTATTTGGCTGGGCTGTCTACATCGATTTGACAGGAAATGGCTCAATTTTTTTGACTGCGGTAATCTGTGACTTTGGTAACAATTACCTCTCTCCCCTCCAGATGACAGCAGGGAGGACGACAGCGGTGAAGATACAGATTCTGAGGATTCATTACCTCTAATTGAAGGTCAGGCCACCAGTGAAAACTTCAACCATTTAGCTAATCAAGATAATACATTGTGATATGGCCCTACACTTTAATAAATGAAAGATTAAAAAAAGGTTTATCTTAATATGAGCGCCATCAATGTGTGGAGCTCTGAAGCTGAAGTGCCATAATTGTTTCCATGACTATTCGGCTTATTGATGGTTGTGATGGGCCATAATCATCAGCATTGCTGCGTTTGTCCTGTGGCAAATAAACAAAAGCGTCATCATCACCTTCAGTTTAGCTGAAAACGCATTACTGTGTAAAGTCAGTGGTGAGATGGTGTCCCTCACCAACTCGCTGACAAAGTTTATGCCTGCGCTGTTCCGACCCCATCTTATCAACTGCGTGTTGTCAAATAATTTCAGAAACATTTTTCCTTTCCTGAAATAATGGCAACTCCTACTGACTTGAGAGACCTCTCGAGCTGTCTTAAATAACTGGGGGAGTAAGAGTGATTCTTAGCTTTAATAAATTTGATAACTTGCTTTTATTCTTAAATTTAAAAGTAGGAGTAAATTTCATGAATTCTCAGCACTTAAGACTAAAATGGCACTTTGAGAAGCTTGATAAATACTGGCCCAGATTGACGCAGTGGATTCTGATCTAAGAAACTGGGCCAGGGATTGCGATAGTGGTTTCCAGAGGGAATTTGAAAATATCCTTCCAAGGAGCTGGACTAGCAGTAGATAGATGTGGTATGCAGTGACGTTAGCTTCCAAATTACTCTGCCGACAGGTTCATTAAGTGAGGTTAAAGTTGTGGGTATGTACTTGACTTTTCTGCCTATTTAAACTCAAGTCTTTATTTTGCTGAATGCATGTTGTGAACTTACTAGGCTTTCACTTCTTTCAGGCTCAAAGGACCTGCTGTGTGTTATGGATGCTCCAGAGTCTTGTGGTTATGAAGTGAACCCTTTGACTAACACCTTGGCTGTACCCTTCACCGGGTGATATGTGAAACGGGTAGGTTTCTGTAAATGTACGGTGAAGTAATTGCCTTGGCTCTGTAATGTTTGACATTATTATACTTAATTATTTAAAATGATCAGGACATTTTTATTTTGCTTATCTGGAAGTCATTTCAT